CTAAAGAGCTCATAAACACAATTAACTACATAATTCATATTTCATTAAATTCCTAATCTAACTTTTTTAACATAAGTTATGTCACCCAATTAAATCAAAAATCATTATCTCCCATCTTCATCTCCCACGAACAAATCAGACCACCGCAACACCCACCTTTACCGTCGCCATTGCTACATCTAACCATCGTAAATCATACCACCGCAACACCATCTTCAACGTTGTCGATGCTCATCACCACCGTCAAAGTCGCCTCCTCCTCCTGTGTTCCTATTTCTCTCTCTTCTTTTTTTTTTTGAAAAAAAATCGTTTAGATCTAATGGTTTAAGGGGTGGGTGGGCTAGTTTGTGGTTGCTTGAGGCGATTTCTGGGTGGATTAGGGAAATTGAGGGTGGTTTCGTTGAGATTCAGGATGAGTAGGGGTAGTTTTTGAGCGATTTAGGTTGATTGTGGGTGGTTCTGGGGTTGAGTGAGGGTGTACGATTTCGAGGTGGTTTGGGTTGAGAAAGGGTAGTTTTAAGGTGGTTTGAGCTAAAAGGGGGTGGTTATGGGGTTTTCCGAGCTAAGAGAGGGTTTTACGGTTGTTCGTGTGTGTGTGGGTGGTTTCAGGGCCTATTATGGGTTGAGATGTGGTGGTTTAAGGCTATGACGTGGGTGGCTTCAAGGTGGGTGCTACGGCCGACGGTGGTGCGGTGGGTGTTGTTGGCCGACGGTTGTGTGGTGGGTGCTGTTGGTGGTGGTGGGTGCTGTTGGTGGTGGTGGGTAAATAATTAATTACCTTTACTTTCTCTCTCCTACCTTGCTTGATTACTTATCTTTGATTAATTAATCAACCATTACGAAATTTTGTCTTAAAATCCGTGTCGAGTTCAAAGTTGCAACTAATGAGAAACGGAGGTAGTAAAAGGCAAAAAATAATCTACTAGGTTTTGAATTTTGAAATTTTTATACTTCAAAAATCAACCAATTTTCGTTGCTCTACAACTAATGATACATGAACAATGAGTGCTCGCAAGTTGTATGAGTAAACTTCAATTGATCATTATTATGATCCATTATTGATATGGATCTTTGTTGTTCTTTTAACACATAGTTAATTGATCACTTTAGGTCAAATTATTTGAACTGAATTTGGTGACTGTTTTAGAAACCTTATTCAAACTCCGATGGTATATAGGCTGGGTGATAATAATGTACAATTGTGAGTAGTGTACTGGTGTGTGAAAAATCAATTGTAGTAAAACACACGTGATTGGCGTGACACTTTTGTGTAACAATGGTCAATGGCCGTGTATCAAGTCACAAGTGAAAACATTGCTTATCGTAATGTTTGGTCAAGTACTGTCAATTCTTCACCCGGCCCAATAACCTTACCTAACTCGAGGTTATTGAGAGAAACCCAACCCAAGACCCAACCTATTTGTCATATTTTGGAATAATATCATATTTTACAATGTTTAATACTTCCTTTGTTTTTTAATAGTTACAACACAAACTTTTCACGGTATTTAAGAAATGGGGGGTTCACAAGATCTAATACACTTTAAAATTAGGTGAGTGGATGTTAGGAGTGTAATTTAGTGGGCCATGTGCTTTAAATAAGGGATATAATACATATTTTCTCTAATATAACTTTCCATTTATAGTGTGTTGCAAGTATTGTGATATTTCCATTTTAGGGAAGCGTTGCAAGTATTAAAAAACGGGGAAAGTATAATTTTTTTAGCACGATACAAAAATCTAACCTAAATTAGATTCTTTGAACCGAATTGGTAGGTTTATGGCTTGATATCGTATTGCTTTGCTTGTACATTGAAATTATTTTATTCGATGGTAAGTAGTTAATATCATATAATTCGTGTAGCAATGGAAAAAAAAAACTTTTATGCTTTCCAATATTTATGTTAATCCCAAATTTTGTTTTAGGAAAAATCTATGGTATAACCTTGAAAATTTGAGTTCCATTATAAGTTTTAAGTGGATAATTCTTGGCGATTTTAACGAAGTGTATTTTCCGCATGAAAAATTTGGGGTCCGCCCCATTAATAGGGCAAAAGCTTTGTTAAAATGTATGCAAGTCTGTGGTCTAATTGGTTTAGGCTATAGTGGTAAAAAATTTACATGTACTAATAAAAGAACGAAAAATTGGTCCTATTTTCGTTAGAGCCAAGGTTTCAATGGAGTGGGTGAGCCTTTTTCCTTCTGGTTACTTAAGAGTTCTTCCTAGATTTACATCTGATCACTGTCCCATTTTGCTAAATTTTACCGAAACTAATGGATTCCAAGGCCCTAAACCTTTTCTCTATTAAACCAATGTGGTGTCTTGATCCCAGATTCTATAATCTTGTCTCATCGGAATGGTGCGCAAAATACAAGTTGATCAATTTGATCAATTTAACTTGTGAATCAACAGGGTATAAACGAATTTTCCATCATTAAACCAGGGACATATCAGTAATTGCGTTAAGCACTAGGTGAAAAAATGGGTCTTTATCACTCCAACCTAACCCATCCTTGAATGTCTACTCTCACTAGTGAATGTATGTCAACTTTCCAATTTTAAGGAAAATCCGGCAGCATTTCCCCCTAGTTCTCCAAGTACACGATGTAGATAATTAATTACCCACATATGTACCCAGAGAACATAGTGAAGAAATGGTAAGGCAAGATGTTCCTTAAAATCGAAAAGAAAACATACATTCACCACCTAAGTGAGAGTACACATTCAAGAACAGTCCCAACCGGGGACTATTCAAGACTTTCTCCTAATGAGAAAGCCTTTAACGGGTATCTAGGCATATGATGATGCAAGTATTCTATATATTGTTGTATTTATTTGCAATTAAACAATACACAAGTTGCAATTTCATGAATAAACTTTTATTAAATGGATAAATAGAAAGAAATATAGCTAAGTAAAGTTTATAAGTCATACCAATATAGCAACTACCCACTTGAGCTCAATATGTAGTCCTCAAGCTAAACTCGTGCTTCAATTCACATATGAATCTATATATTAAAAAAACAAAAAACAAAAAACAAAAATTAGGTTAAATATTATGTATGTACTTCTCATAACATGTCAATTCAATAATTTATTTCTAATTAAGCTAAAACACATCATTCATCGAACTAACAATTGCTAAACTATGTATTCACTACTTTGTTCAAAATTCATTTTTTTTTATTCAAAATTGCTAAACTAAAAAGTTACTAAGCTAATCTCTAATTTTTTTTCATTTTATTTATTCAAAATTGCTAAACTAAAAAGGTTACTAATCTCTAACCATTATACCAAACCAAATTTCAACTAATTAAGTAACAAGGCTAATATTCTCTACTTTATTCAAAATTACACATCAAAACAAATTAAATTAACCATTAAAACATACTAATATCCAACTAAATGAGTAACAAGGTTACTAATTTCTAATATTTTCACAATTTCCCAATAAAAAAACCAATTATTGAAACAAATTGAAGTAAAATTATATTCTAACCTAAATTTTAATTTGCCTAAAAATTCTTCAACATGCAAAACAAATTAATATAAGTTCATAAATGGGAAATTATTGAGAATAAAAAAAAAATTATACCTAAAACACTCAAATTCGGTTTAATGTAGCTTGAAGGGAGGAGAGATGGAGTAGCTTCCGTGGTCAGTGGTGCGGTGGCAACCTTCAGGGCGGTGGTGCGGCGGCGACCTTCAGGGCAGTGGCGTAGGAAACGAAGAGATGAGGTCGGCGTGGAGGGGGTTGTGCTGAGGGGAGAAATACCATGGCAGGGGAGAAAGAGAAGGCCAGGGGTGGCGGCGGTGATGGTGGCGGCGACTGTTGCGGCAAGAGTGCAGGTGAGGTGAGGGGTTTCGCAGGTGAGGTGAGGGGTTTTGGGAATCGAACTGTGAAGAGAATAGAACAGTGAAGCAGCGAAAATGAATGAAAGAGAAAGAAAAGGAAGAAGGAAAGAGGCGGGGTTTTTTTTTTTTTTGAATTAGGCACCGGTTCATTTGGTACCGGTTCAAACCGGTGCCTTTTTAATTTTTGGCAACGGTTCAGGCCAAACTGGTGCCTTTTCTCTTGTTCTAAAATCCCGCCCATTTCTAGACCGGTTTTGGCCACCGGTTTGGCCTGAACCGGTGCCATATGGGGGCTGTCTATTGCTATTTTTCTACTAGTGAAGGTTGACTCATCATGCTTGCCACTTGTGCTGACCTACGTGTACCCCCCTGTCTAACGCCGTTATACCAAATTTTACTCGAACCGTTACGTCTAAATCGTCCTTTATGGATTGTGGGCTCGAGGCTACCAAACAAGTATGGGCTTCCCCAGGTCTGGCCCTTATTTTATACATTAGGTATGGGCTAAGTAATATGGGCCATATTATTGATTGTGTGATATGAAACTGATCCGGGCCATTCTATATTTTAGTTGGTCAGGGATGTCATGTATGGGACATTTTTTTGCTTCTGTGATTTGAAACTGATCCGTGCCATCTTTTACCAACATACCAATGTTTATAATTCAGTTATGTGTAGGTGCATTGTTGCAATTCAATTATAAGCACAAGCTACTTTATATCCCGCCTTTAGTACACATAATTAGTCTATGTTGTTTTTATAGGTATCTAAAGGTCCTTGCAGTGATTGTATTGGGTATGGATCCTATCTTTTTCAAAATCTCGGGAAAAATGGTGAATATTAAAAATTTTGACTAAAATCAATAGGGAATATTCATCCTGCATTCATTTCAAAATAAAAAAATAAATGATCATTAAAAATAATTTATAACTCTCACCCTCACAACTCTACAAGTCTATATAATTCAAAATCTCGGGGATCTCAACTCGATTGTATTCGGATATTCACAAATTCATAAAATATGATATATTGTGATTTTGAATTATATAGACAATAGACTCATTTACCTATGTTCATTCGATGAAGAACGTTGTTCATATTATTCTTTACGCATAATTTAAATGGAAAACATATTTAAGCCACATTCAAAAAGGACTAAACTAATTACATACATAACTAACGCACATTTTACTGGACAGATGGATGCAATTACACATAATCTACATACTAACAAGGCTACAATCTACAATTAAAGTATACAGTTTAATTGAAACTCACATAGTCAAAATGACCACCATCTATTCACATAAAGACCACCATATATTCACATTATATACTAAAGTAACGTCCAAAGATCTTCCAGCTCTCTGAAGCTGCCGTGCAGCAATGCTGGAATCAAAAAGTATAATGTATTTGGAGATCATCATACGCTAATACCGTTATAAAGTTGTGCCACCAATGGCCTATTAGTGATTAAAAATTTTGTTGCAGAAACCAAAAACAAAAACAAAATGTAATTTTTACATAAAGTACTAGATTGGAGAGCATAAGCAGATCTCAGACCCTGCTGACTTTGAACACCAGGGGAGTTTTGGACAGCACCTTCACCTCCACTTGATGCCCCTTGTTGATTTTTTTTATCGTTAATCATCTTCTTAATTCCTTCCCCCTTCATGTTGCAAAGTGTAATCCGGTTACCCTACTTCTTCAAAAAAAGTTTTGACGCATATACATTGTTGTTCATAACACATCAGCTTCATTCTCAGGTCCCAGGGAGGCCAGTTGAGTTTTAGCAAAGCCGAAAGGCACATTCTACAAAAATTTAATATCAACAAATGAATGGAATCATCTCAACAGATACAATATCTTGTATTCAAATTAATGTATTATAAAATCAATACGATTGAGGCCATTACATTACTATAACTCACCCACTATAATTATTGTTTTTTTATAATCCAATTAGTTGATTGGTTGACAGTAATCAAGGCTAAAAATTAACATAGCACAACAGCCTAACTTAGTTGTATGCATTATCCTGGTAAAAGACAAGACAAACACCACAAGCCTTACAGAACTAATAAAGCCACGCATTCATATTCTTTGATTTTGATTGGGGGGGGGGGGGGGTAGGGGAGTTGGATAATTAGCCTCTTGTTACGCATAAGGTTGTAGACCAAATTATATAACTGACCAGCAGATTCTAAAACATACTCACTCTATCAGTGGGTCTCCAAAAAAACGCAGAAGTACATATATACATAAAAAAATCCCTTACCAGTCTATTCACTTTCAGGTAGGGCTGCGTGAAAGTTGCCCTGAAAGCCGGTTGTTCCTACCTAGTCCCATCAAACTGGGTGCCAGCAAAATCACTTGACCTCCCACTAGACTCACTTTTACTCCAAACAGATTCACTTGAACTCCCATCTGATAGGGAACCAGTACCAGTATGGTAAACATCAGTTGAACTCCCTGAAGACAGCACAATGACATCGGACTCAGTAGCTATGGGGACCACTCTACCCCCTCTAAAAACCTTGACACGAAAGCACTTACATCCCTCGTACGTTATTTCCAGCTTGTCCTGTAGCTGGATATTCTGCTCCTCCATGAATTTATCCCACCCATGTCCCCAATGTATTTCCTCCTTATCTCCAAACATTATATAAACCCGCGAGAGGTTGTACCACTGACTATCGTCTGCTCGGCGAGCTTTGATAAAAAGAGTATCAACTAGCTGATTGATTCTTTTTGGAATTGGCTGCAAAGATGCATTTTGGTTAGCTTAATAACATGAACTAGGACATCAATGCAATCAAATATAAGGAAGACTCTCACCAAGGTAATAAACATGGACTTCTTAACCGTGACTTCAAAAGTTAGCTTCTTATTGGGTGCCATCTTTACCTAATACGTAAAATAATAGCCATCATTATGCATAGAATATATAGTGTAAACTACAACACATGAGTTCCGTATAGACAACTTCGATGGAAAACCAGTAACAACATGGTTCTTCCACCACCTACTCAATTAGTTACAGCTACAACCACATAGAAGTACAACTACTGTCATAAGACTCAAAAGTTGTTACGCTGTACATGACATCTACCTTGGTGACTAGGTGGATTCAGTAAACCAAATCACTTCCTGTCTCAACTGGGGTGCACAACTCTACTACAAAAGCATTGATAATGTTCCATTCACATGATGTGCAAACATTATCTTCATCAAATGTAGAGACTGAAAATATTGTGACTAAAAGTCTAGCAACTATACCTTTTGTAGTGTATAACATTCAATCATTAATACTTTAATAATGATCTAAAAATCTATTAAAAAATAATAAATACAGAATCCAATTAACAGTAAAAATAACATTTTAAATAAGAATTTTTTTTATATGATATTTATTTATCAATTATCAGTTCATAGAACCAACCTCAACACCCCAAAAAGCGGACTCAAGTTATACCATATAATAAACAACCACCACTTTTATACACTATTACATCTTTCATTATAAAGTTAATAGCGAAATATCAAACATTTATACTCATAGATCTTCTAGATTGTCTTTTATAATCTACCGTACTTATGTGTCTTACGTTAGCTGCCTAATAGGTAATCTCATAAAAAGTTACAAGGAACATATTAAAAACCTTAAAATCTAACTTTAATATTATAATGAATTAAACCGCATCCCAATTTAATGAATATTGACAACTAAAAGTAATGTAGAACTTACCATTTTTCAATTAAAAAAACAAACCGCAACAATCTATAAACAAACATATTTCAGAATTCACTTTCCAATATAATCCAGCCCATATTACTATACAATACGTGTTTACACATGAATTTTTAAGGGAAATCTCAGTAAATCAAAACAATAGATCTAGGGATTGACTTAGCCAGGAATTTACACGACATATGTTATTGGCTTGTAGTTGGTGTAGCGAATTATAAATTGGATCTGGCTGTATTTTCGTCCAAAAAATGGATTAAATCGTGATAGGTTGTAAATGTATACCTGTAATCGAGCGGGAAAGCAATGTCAGGTTGAAAGTAGTTCTGATTGCCGATCTTTTATGACGGAGATAGTATGAAGGAATTTTGGGAGGAGAGGTTGTAGAGGATTTGGGTTTGAGGAGAGATAATTAGAAGTTGAAAAGATCGATACAGTATTTGTGAGTTATGGGTTTTTGTTATTATTTTTAATAAATATATTAAATTTTTTAATTTATTTGTTTTGGGGATTACACAATGACTATGGTGTTGAGAAACATGATTGAATTGAATTTCACTTGTGGTAATTAAAGTCAACGAAGACTTTACTAAGTACAATAATTTGTATAAAGTACAATAATGTATATTATTGTATTCAATTATTTTGGCTATATAAATGAAAGTTCACGTATTGTGAACTTAAGTTGAAAAAACAAGAAAAGAGTTTTCCTACCATTCTACTACTTACTTCCTATCTTCATCCCTTCACTGATAAATATCTTATCATCAGTAAAATATTTTTAACACGTTATCAGCACCAGTTTTCAGTCAGGTATATTTATACCTACTTCAAAAAATTTATAACAAATAATACTATCTACTTCTAAATATTTCGAGGAGTATGCTCTATAGTTGCCCATATTTGGGATCCTCTATACCAGAAACTCAAACATTTACTGTATTATATATACCTCAAAAACAACGGTGAAAGTTCTCTTTTGTTTATTCATGTTGATATTTCTTTGTTTGATCCATGTTGATATTACATACTCATTTTACGTAAAAAAATTTTATACTTATTATTTTTCTTACTTTTACATACTTTTTGTGTTTCTTTCCGTTTTCGAACCCATGATCTTTTATAGATATTAGGGCTCTCGGACCACTATTGTTTCGCGGTTTTCTGATGTCCTACGGGAGAGTTACAATTCCGAGACTGGAACCGGACGCCTGTACCTGCAAAACAACGGAGACTCCTGGTGGTGGGAGCTCCGCCTCCAACGGTCAAGTTAGTACTTGATTAAGGAGTAATTAATGCGGAAATTAAAGTGATTGGGTCTCTCTAGGTGAGAGTGTTTAATGTGAGTTTTTAGCGTAATCTGCTTTGTTAGCATGATCAGCCTATTATCTCTGTAATTAATGTAATCTCCCTTAATGAGGATTAAGGGAGGTATTTATAACCTTGGGAAACGTGCTAATCCTAGGTTTAGGTTAACCTAGGGCTGATTGGGCTTCCCTCGGAAGTTGGGCCTAGGTGGCCGATTTCTCCATTAGGCATGGAGTATGCCACGTGTCATGACATAATAGGTCCAAGGTGGACGAATAAGCGTGTGCCACGTGGCAAGCCCTGACAGTTCCAACTGGGGGACACTTGGCAGGACCTGATTGGCCCACGTGGCGCATTCCGATTGGTAGGAGCAAAATCCCCTAATCATTTGCCCCTCACAGGTGGCACGTGACTGGTCACGTGTTACCTGTGACAGGTGCCGCACTGTAACAGGCGACGACCTGCTACAGGTGTCAGTCGGCGAAAGGCCGAGAGATTTTCCCGCCCAAATTTTGAATTCTGAAAGTGACCCTTCGCCTTCTCACTTCGCCTATATAAGGGAGTGTTGACTTCAGTCATTTTCACACTTGAGAACTTTGTGAGAGAACATTCGGACCCCTGAACTTGCTCTGACAATTTGGACCTTTTCTGCCTACCGCCTGTTCTGACAAGCCGACTGCAAAGGATTTTCAGAACTTCATCAACCGTCACTCGTTCAGGTAACCGTCGGTTCTCTTACTCTTAATTTTCTCTTTATTTTATTTTTTTTGAAATGGCACCACGGAAGCACATGACACGACCTAGGTTAGTGATCAGTCGGTCACCGGGGACGGCTGAATCTAAGACTAGGAGTGCCGCCTGCCCTTTTCCGGACCCATCTTTGCCCTTTATACAAAGTCCGACTGTATCTGTGTCTATGCAGAGCATGATGGCCAGAACAAAAAAGACTGCCAGGATCTCAAATTCAGACGGCTCCTCCCGCAGGGTGCCGATTAGTGAAACATCTGACCAGGCGCCAGATGTGGAAGTGAAACAAAGTGGCTTGAAAGCCGGCTGCTCTGAGGGAGGAATCAAAGTGACCCCTTCCCATTTCTCATTCGACAATTCTTCATTCTCTCCTGCTCCCTTTAAAGGAGAGGAGGCGGGCCCCTCCGGGAGAGGGGAGGAGTCGTCCTCTTCGGACTCGTCAGAGGACGATTCCGAGTCTAGCTCTTCTGGTCATGCTTCTCTGGACACAGAAGAGAAAAACAGTCGCCTGCAAGAGGCGAGGCTTTCTCACGCAGTTGAGAAGGGGGACAATTGGGCGGAGCCATCCGCCTCTTACCGAGAGCAAAATACCCCCTACTACTGCACGGTACCTCGGGGCCGGATCACAGCCATGCAAGAGAAAATGGAGAGCTTTATCGCAAACTACACAATGGGCCCCGACTTTTTAGTGTTTGTGCCGGATCCAGAAGACACAGTCGTCTGGCCGGCTGGTACCAGTTATGATAGCGCCTGCTTTGGCTGCTACGAGGCGACCATCAAGGCTGGGCTGCGCTTCCCATTACATCCGGCTGTTCAGCGGATCTTGGATGGGTATGAGTTGGGGTTATGGCAGTTAGCCCCGAACTCCTAGGTCAACGTACTCGGCTATGTGGCCGGGTGCGAACTGCACGGGGTGGAGCCGAGCTTCGAGGATTTCGCCCACATGAACTACCTCAGCCGGACCCCTAAGGCAGGCGGTACCGGCTGGTATCAATTGACGAGCCACAGGGCTACCTCATGACGAGAGGTAAAGCAAACAAATGGAAGGACTGGCGGAGCACCTTCCTCATCATTGAGAGTTCAGACACAGAGCTGAACAAGCGCCTCAACAGGTGGAACAGGAATCCGCCCCTTCTTGCAGGCGGCCGCAGCATGCCGCCTGTTCCCCCCAAGGCTAAGAAAGAGATCCTAGATAAAGGACTTCAAAGTAGAGTCGAAGGTGAACTCTACTTCAGGGGTACGAGAGCAAGTACCCCTGCACTGCGTCCCGAGCTTCAAATGGCTCTACAACGAGTACTTTTTGGCCGCCTGTGGCCTCAGCAGTCGGTGCTCAAGAGGTAGCCGGCCTGTCGAATACTCTGTTGTTTCATGCATTTCTTGTTATGACTTGTATTAACTTTGCTAATTGTTTTTGCAGCGGACGCCATGAGCAAAATTACCGCCTCCAAGACTGCGGCGGCCATGTTGCGGGCCTCCATCATGCAACAAGCTTCAACCGACTCCCCCAAGAAGGGGGCACCCTTGGTGGGCTTCGAACCTTTCACCCCTTTTTTTTTGGAGTTGTGTTTATGCATATACTGACTTTTTTCTTCTTTTTTAGACGGGCGCTCCAAGAGCTTCTTCTTCCCAACAGCCGGACCCCAAGGCCCGGAGGACGACTGTTGCGAGCTCTCCTGGTTCAACCAGGAAACATGCGGCGGCTGAGAAACAGCCGACCACTTCTTCTAAAACTCCAGCTGGGCCGCCTAAAAGTATGAAGTTGTCCTTGTAAATTTTAGACTTGCTCCCTTTTTTACTAGGTCTTATCCGTTTGTTTATGCTTGATGCAGCCGGCCCTCAGGAGCCTGACGTGGTCGAGGTGGCCAAGTCTATGATCAGGGCCGTTCCTCCAGCTGAAAGGGAGGCGGTCAGGGGTGTCGGCACCCTTGACCTAGACGGGATTGCAGGGATCCTTGCTGAGGTATACTTGGCATATTTTTGAGTATTTGAATTTCAGGTCGCCTGTTTTCTTTTTTGTTTGAAAACTGACGCCTGTTCCTTTTTACTTAGGCCCTGCTCCGAGTGAACGGCCTTCGCAAGCCGCTTGACCGGAAGAACAAAGAGGTAAAGGCTGCAAAAGCTATGGCCGCCTCTGACTGTGATAAGGCAATGTTTCAAATTGCCCAAAATGAAGTTCTGACCATTGATATTCTTTATTATCAGGCGCAGGCTACCGCCGCTATTCGGGCTCAGTTAGAGGCGGCCCAGAAGAGGAATGGCGAGCTGGAGGCGACCATCACCAATCTCAAGGCCGAGCTGAAACCTCTTCGCCTAAAGATGTACTCATACGAAGCCTTAGAGAAATCCTTGGCTAACGTAAAGGAACGCCTGGTGACCCAGGAGAAGAGTCTTACTCAGGAGCTCTCGGAAAAGGCCGAGCAAGAAAAGAAAGAGCTGGTCCGGGAGATGATGGAAGACTCTGCTCAAATCCAGCGCATGACTTGGGGCCGCCTCTTCCCCAATGCCGACTTTTCCTCATGGGAAAAAACGTACCGCCAGTGTTCTGATACATATAATCAAGAGATCCTGGCGGCTGCTGAGGAAGAGACGTTGGAGGAAGCGTTGGAGGAGGAGGAGCCGGTAGTGTCTCTTGTGCCGCTTGGGGGTAATGCATCAAAGAAGAATGCAGCTGAAGCCGAGTCCAGCAAGAAGAGTGCTGACCAGGCGGCAGCTGCTAATATTGAAGATCTGCCCCCTTCTTAAGCTTTATGTATTCTTTCCACGGCCTGCGTGCCGTTTGTTTTGTATTTACCCGGCCAGGGGGCCGGGGCTCTGAATATTTTGCCGGTCTTTAATGACCGGCTTCTTTTTAATGAATTTTTTGTTTTGCTTCAAATTTGTCTAAGTATTGAATATTCTGATATCCAATTGTTCACTATACCGACTGTTTTACATGGCCGATAGTTGCAGACAGGTACGGATAGTTAGTCACGCCGCCTATGCCCCTAGACGACTGGTTGTTGGTTTCTAGGATAGACGATCAGTCGGCCATTTATCCAATCGGTATTCGAACCATTTTAAAGACTGGATCCCCTTTAGTCAGGCGGTCCTGTCATTTGTAAAATTAACCAAATAGGAAAGTGGTCTGACCAAGTAAACATGATTGTTACCTAGTTGCCAAGGAACTGAGTAGTAGAGGTATCAAGCGGTGGGTACCGGTTGTTCCCCTTTATTCGCCAATGTTTGTTGGCTTTTAACTCATAAGTTGTTAACCTAGCAGGAGTAGTGGTTGAGAGCCTCTGTTTGCTAAAAACAGGCGGACGACTCATACCTTTTAGGCTCCATACTAAGTTTGAGGGGGTGACCATAAGTTAACATAGGAGTTACTTAGTCTCCGTCACACTCTAGATTGAGTAGTAGAGGTACCAGGCGGCGGAGGCCGGCTGATCCCCTTGATTCGCCAATGTTTGTTGGCTATTAACCCGAGTGGTTACCTAGTAGGAATAGGGGTTTGAGTGCCCCTGTTTGCCAAAAAACAGGCGGTCTACTCAAACCTTTTAGGTTCCATACCAAGTTTGAGGGAGTGACTATGAGTTAACGTTGGTGTTACTCAGTCTCCGTCACTCTTGCTTGAGAAGTAGAGGTACCAGGCGGCGGAGGCCGGCTAG